GGCAATCGATAATATACCTTATTTACGCTTAAACCGTCATTATCTATTTTGATAATATCCTCATTTGTTCATAAATAGATTTTGCAATCAACGATAAATCAAGATCATCAATAGCTATTTTTATTCCTCCATGATATTTTAGTTAAGAATTTATTTCTGGGTACACTATTATATCAAAAAGATTTCAATTCTATAAGGTAAATTTTTATTTTTTATTATATAGTTTATTTTATGTATCATATACTAATAATTTATGGTTGATAATTGGTTTATTATAATCATAGCGTAAATCATAAACAAAAAAAAAAGCTATCAATTCTTCTTGTATTACCTACAATTACATCAGTTTAGTGATTACACTAAAAATCGATTTAGTTTCTATATAGACGATTTTTTTCTTATATCGTTTTTTTTTTTAATTTTACACTCTTATTATATTTTGATATAAAAAATATATTAATTTTTTATTATGATATAGGCCCCATTTATCCTAAGATCCTGGCTCCGCCCCTGGTAGGACACTTGAATTTGTTTAGCAAAAGTGGGATTTTGGTCAACCTCAATGACAAACTGATTTATATAACATACATGTTAAACCATTTATGTTTTGTTTTCTATTTATTAAGTTTCAAAGTTGTTTTGGTCAAAAATTGATCAAGTGTAATTCGACCAAGTTGTATGATAGGCTGTGGTGTTAGTATAATGTAAGTATCGAATGGTAATCAAAGTGAGACAAATGAGTTACAAGGAAAACTCTTGATCCTTTGTAGGATCTCCGACATAAAACATTGGGGGTGATAATAATCACATGCCTTGATGTGTTTTATTGAGTTTAATCTGTGCTTACAGAGATTGAGAAAATAATGAGTACAAGAGTAAGGGTTGATCATGTCTGATTGTCTGTTGTGTGCTACATACATGTGTTATTTATAAGTTAGTATACGTAACAAGAAGTCTGATAATTCTTGGATCCTGCGGAATTAGCATATGAACGTTATTTGACTTGGTATTCCGGGTCTTTTGCTTGGTTGAGATGACTCTCTGTTGAGAATGAGTCTTGTGTTGACTAGTACAGTACATGTGAGAAATATAAAGAAAATATCACCGTTACAAATGTTAGAAATATTAGTGGTAATAATCAGGTCCCGGGATATGTTTAAGGATCCCGAGACTTCAGAAATATTTAAGGATCCTAAATACGATTAAAGGATCCTGCCCCTAACAATTGCCCCCAAATTATACATGTGAAATATCAAGGTTAGTTTTCCCGTATTTAAAGGTATAATTTAAAAATAATAAATGAAAGAGTTAAAAAGATTTGAATTTTAAACCCTAATCGAATAGGGTTTATCTGCCTAAGGTTAATCATCATGCGGTCAAATCGTGCCCTCTCTCTTCTATCATTAGGTTAAATATAGGTTATCGTCTTAACTTTTTTTACGTTCCCCAACACTTCTTACGAACGTCTCTGGCTACATTCACAAGTATTTTTTTTTCTTTTGTTCTCTTCTTTTCTCCGATCATGGGCAATGTAACTCGTTCTCGCGTCAGTATTATTGCTCCTCCAGAGAATAATTTTGTTGATCAAGGGATTCTGGCTTATGATGAGGCCTGCTCCTTTAATGACGAGGACATGCACTCCCTTAAGGCCAACAGAGCTTTTCCCTCCGAAGTGATCTTCAGGTCCTTTGATCATTTTATTCAGCTTGATTTTGTTTCTCCTTCTTGGGTATGCTTCCCCGAATATCCCTTATCTTTAGGTCTCAAATACCCTTTTTCGGGTATTGTTTCTGATTTCTTTCAAGCCACCAAGCCTTCGTATATCCAAGCAATGCCCATCATTTTGAGGATTTTGTAATGGATTGAGCAAGTGAATCACTCCCACAACTCGGACATTGGTCTTACCGAGTTGGCTTATGTTTACGACCTCTCTACTTTTGGGAGTTCTAGTTTTCTGTTTAAGGTCAAAACCAACAAATCCCCCCTCATCCTGAAAACCAAGCACAACGATGGGTACCTTTTCAAACTAGGTTTTCTCCTAACTAGTTGAAGGTGCAATTGATGCGTCAACCCTTCGTCAAGCTTTGTAAGACGTATATATTGGTCTCTGTGTAGGTGTACTCTTGATTTTGCTTGGTTGAGGAATTGTTGTTTATAGTGGGTTTGAGTTAGTAGTTGTCTTTGGTTGAGGAGAATATTTTATTTATTTATGCATGGATGAGGACTTCATTACATACATCAAAACATCAAGATAAGGAGTACATGAAAGTAAGATGGATGTCTAATTGTGTGAGACATCTTTCATTATTTGTTTGTACTTCCCAATTCTTTTGTGGATTGATGCAAGCATAAAGGATATGTTGTCTTCCATAGAAAGATCATCAACCTTTGCGTCTTCAAGAATGGTTTTTATGGTTTTGTAGTTGATGTCATGTTGTTCTATTGGGATGGTGTTGTCAAAGTTATTTTGCATAGTGAAGCCTTCTTGAAGTTTGGCTTGAACTGTGTTGGAAATCAGGCCCTCTAATCACCAGCAAACAATCGACACACTCTGATTGATTTATGTGAGAATAGAAGATGAAGAGAACTGTGTAATTTGGACTCAAAAGGGTGTTCTATTCATTCATGTAACTCATCGATTACAAGGCTATTTAAACAATATAAATTCAACTACTTATCCTAAAATTACTACACCTACTGCCTACTAAGTCTCTAGAGCCATCGTAGCCATATACTTGGTCATACTCCTAACAAAAGACTGGATTGCCCTTGAATAAAATATGTGGCTTTGACCTAGTTTGGATTAACACCAACAATCTTCCCCTTAATCCAAATTGTTCCAGCCAAACTTCTTTCTCTCTCGGTCTCTTTCTCAAGTAAACCGTCTGTCTTGTTTACGGTCTCTTTCTCAGGTAAACCGTCTGTCTTGTTTGCCTCTTCGGTCTTCGGTAGTCTTCGGTCTTTGGTCTAGGTGTCACCCGGTCTTGAAGCTTCTCATTCGGTCTTTGCTTCTTTCTTTCTTCCTCGATCAAAAGTGATCGCTCTTGCTTCTTTCTTATTCTTTTTTTCTTGCAAACATATGACAAGTTTATGCTAAACATGATCAGCCTTGCTCCTTTCATTCTTTCTTTGATCATCAAAGGTGATCACACTTGCTGCTTCGACCAGCTTGCTTGTTTTCTTCCTCAACAGCCATTTTCTGCTATCTCTGGGATCGAACAACCACAACCGAACTTTCATCTGTCAACACCATTGTGAGCCATTAACACCACAGCAGAAACCGGAGCACACCACAGCCGAGAACCACCCTCGTTTGATCCTCCTTTCTGTGTTTCTTTCTTTCTGCAGAAAGCAACAGCCAACAGGTTGCATGTCACAATCTTCTTTCTTTCTTCTTTCTTTCTTTCTTTCTTTCGTTCTTTCTTTCTTTCTATCTATCTTCTTTCTTTCTTTCGGTCTTTCTTTCTTTCTATCTTCTTTCTTTCTGTCTTTCTTTCTTTCTTTCTTATTTCTTCTTTCTGGCGGTCTTGTCTACAGCAGCAATATATTGGTTCAGCCCCTGCAACCATCATCTTCTTTCATTCTCAGCCCTGCAGCCCTTTTTCATTCTCAGCCTTGCAGCCAAGGGTTGCTCATACTCTCTCGACACCGACTCTCGAGCTTGATTCTTTTAAACGAGCCCTAAGCTCTAATACCAAATGTTGGAAATCAGGCCCTCTAATCACCAACAAACAATCGACACACTCTGATTGATTTATGTGAGAATAGAAGATGAAGAGAATTGTGTAATTTGGACTCAAAAGGGTGCTCTATTCACTCATGTAAATCATCGATTACAAGGCTATTTAAACAAGATAAATTCAACTGCTTATCCTAAAATTACTGCACTTACTGCCCACTGAGGACGTGTTCGGCACAGAGCATTTGAGAGCGCTTGAGAGCTTCTAGCTTCTAGCGTTTGACAAAACGCTCTGTTTTAAACAGAAAGCTCCGTTCGGCACTACAAGCTTCTAGCGTTTAGTTTAAACAACACGCTTAAAATCCAAATGCTATTTCATGTAGCGTTTAACAAAACGCTACAAGCTACAAGCTACCCGCCACCCGCTACAAGCCACCCGCTACCAGCTAATTTTGCCGAACACGCCTTAAGTCTCTAGAGCCATCGTGGCCATATACTTAGTCATACTCCTAACAAAAGACTGAATTGCCCCTAAATAAAATATGTGGCTTTGACCTAGTTTGGATTAACACCAACAAACTGCTTCCATGATATCTCTTATTTCCCGGAGGTAATCAATGAGTGCCCGAAGTATGTTTTCAACTTCTTCTCTTTTCATTTTTTTTCGTTTTCTTGGTTAGGGTTGGTATTGTATTGTGTGCACCTACAAGGAGGATCTTGTGTCTTATATAGTGTTTTAAGTTGCATTGTTCGAGTCTGTGTAAAGCTTAACTGAGGTTTGGTAAATGTTAGTAACATAATGACATGGACACATATGTTTGGATGTATGGAAGATGTTGTCTTAATAAGTCTATTTAGGTGATGTGGTGGCATGTTTTGGTAATTCTAGTAATAGCTTCTACTCTAGGTTGTGATGGTATATGTATGGTCTCAATAAAGCTATGGACATGGATTGGTTGCAGATAAGAGGTAAGCGAATCTTGTTAAAAGCGCAACATGTATTTTTTATTATTTCATTATATTTTTATTAGAATTGTTTTCATTATTTTTTTTAATGTAATTAAATGTATTTAGTTAAGGGGGAGGTACTTTTATAAGAAGTTTTGTAATATTATTAACCTGGCTTGTTGAATGGATATTAGTTGACGGAAATAGTATGGGTGTTGTTATGTTTTTTTGTAAGGCATGTTCGTTTTAGTGTTTTAAAGTTCTATTGTAATTGTGTTTGTGTCTTTTAGTTAACGCAAGTAGTAAGGGTATATAGGTCATGCAAAATATCGAAAGAGAATACTACGTTAACGTTTTTACATTCATACAATATTGGAGAAGACATTGGAATAGCAAAAGCATAAGACATTATAACATCCCTTTTACAACGGAAGACTTACAGCGTACCATTATAACATAGTGCATAGTCTTAAGCAAAAGAAAGTAGGCATGAGTGACGTCTGATCTAGTCATCGGGAAGGTCCCTAACCATGCACCTTAGTGCAGAAACTCCATCGTTCACCTCCTTGCGTAGACCAGAGATGTCGGTTTCGACCCTTGAGTAGCACTGCCTCACCAGGCTAAATGCATATGTGGCTCTGGTATAACGTCGTGGTTAACCATCTGACCTTCAAATCGTGCGCGTAAGGCTCCCATAGTGGCACTGGCTTGTTGTATATCCTGAATTAGTGCGTGTAGTAATTCCTCTAGCTGTTCGGTCATCATTTTTTTTCTGTTTTTTTTTGGGTAGTGAACGATGTTTTTTAACAATGTTTTTTCTAAATTGGTATGATAATTATGTAATGTTTTGAATAATGTGGGTCTTTTTTTATTTTTTTGTGTTTATCGTCTTAGTTGATTGTAATTTTGTTTTATCAATTTGGTAAATGAGTTAGTTTTTATTCTAGCAAGAGCGATTTATGTGTCAAAATATGTAATCATATTGTTTTAGATAAGTGTTGGATAATTGAATGTAAAGTAGTTGGTGTGAATAAATTACACTTAATTTGGTCATAGATGATGTGATGGGTTTTTTTTTGTTACATGATTCAATGGAAAGTTTGTTTGGTTAAGTTATTAATGGTTTTGTTTTATGAGGGTTTACTTAACGTCCTGCCACCTATTCGTAATTTAATTAATTTTTTATTGATATCTAATAGTTACGATCGAGTGTTTTGGGCTTGGTGTAACTATTATTAACAAAGAGTTATTTTAATGTTTTTTTTTTTGAACCGGCAAATATATTATAAAAAGCACCAACCTTAGCAAGGCGCTAGAGGAAGGAGAAAAAAACAAAAGACAAAGTTCAAATTACAAACAGTTTAACGGGGAGCTAATCCAATCACCCCAATTAAAACAACACCTGCCATATCTATGTTTAACCCACAGAAATGTCATAGACTTAATCGAATCGATAACCTTAATCGGATCAGCAATAACGCCATTGAAAATTCTATCATTCCTGGCACGCCAAATCGCCCACAAAACACCATAGAGGATCGAGAACAGAGCCTTCTTCTTGCGATTGGAACCCATCTTCAATCTGACAGCCTCATCAATAATTCCTCTAACCGAGTTGGCGATTATCTTCCCAATGCCGCACCACATCGCCAGACTCCTCCACACATGATCCGCAAACGGGCAGTCCACTAGGAGATGGTCGGAAGTTTCTAACCTCGAGATACATGCACTGCACCATTGGGAGTCTACCTTAACATTCCTGCGGCTAAGAGCCAACAAAGTTGGGATTCGACCCAATCTAGCTCGCCAAGCGAAACATAGAACTTTCATTGGCACCCACTTAAACCATGGAAATTCACGGTCACAGATTAGGTGGGGGGATCTATCTATTCTCGTTCTCATCATAGCTACACAGTAATTCTCCTTGCAAAAATCTGATTCCCAAGTATCGTCGGTTGGTGATCTTCTAATAACATCATGAACTAGAATGTTTACTTTTCTAAGTTAATTTTTGCATCTAACAATATTATTCCAAACTCCAGGGATATTTTTTGAAGCAGCAATATTATCATTCAGACTCCCCATGTAGTGAATACCGTTTATAACGCAAGACCATAATGAATTAGGAGAATTTTTGAGCTTCCACCACAATTTAGATAATAAAGAAATGTTAAGAGCTTTTATGGATCCAATACCGAGACCGCCAACTTCACGTGGTGCTATTAATCTCTCCCATGCCACCCAATTGATCTTTTGGGACTCACCTTCTCCCCCCCAAATAAAGTTCCTCCGAATCCTTTCCAAGATTTCAAGTATACCTGTTGGGGCAGCGAAGATCGATAAATAATAGTTGGGAAGATTACCCAAGACGGCTTTAGCAAGCGTTATTCTACCACCAAAGCTTAAATTTTTTGCTTTCCATAACGATAATTTTGATTTGAACTTATCCACAATTGGCTTCCAATTTTTAATTAAGTTCATATTAGCCCCAACCGGAACCCCAAGATACTTAAAGGGGAGGGAGGCCGTCTCACACCCCAGCGGGGCAGCCCCTCTCTCAACTTCTCGATCGATCACACCAATGCCAGCAACTTTTGATTTGTTAAAATTCACTTGAAGCCCTGATGAAACATAAAAACATCTAAGAATACGGCCAAGGTTATCGATATTATGCTTTGACCATTCACCCAAGAAAATCGCATCATCCGCATAGAATAGATGCGACAACGGAGGCCCGACGTTTGGAATAGAAATACCCTTGAAAATGCCCTTTTGCACAACTTCTTTCATAGCAATATTTAAACCCTCAATTGCAATGATGAAGAGAAATGGCGAGAGCGGGTCTCCTTGACGAACACCTTTTTGAAATGGGAATTCACATGACGGACTACCATTTACAATCACCGACGCCTTTGCTGATGCCAAACACCCTCTTATCCACATTCTCCATTTACCTCCAAAATTCATTTGCGACATCATAGAATCCAAGTAACCTCAATTTAATGAGTCAAAGGCCTTATTAAAGTCTGCTTTGAAGATAAGTATTTTTGTTCTTTTTCGCCTTCCCCCAAGAGCAAGCTTCATTGACTATGAGCGGACCCTCCAGGATGTATCTATTAGCCACAACCGCCGTTTGGACCTCATCAATGCATTCACTGATCACTGATTTTAATCTGGAGGCAAGTAACTTGGAAATGATCTTATAAATAGACCCAATGAGGCTAATGGGTCTATAATCATTAAGAACAAGAGGGTCCTTTGTTTTGGCAACTAGTGTGATGAAAGAGGAATTGCAGCCCCTTGATAAAGAATCGAATGCATCAAAATATCTAACACAACCAACAATATCATCCTTTAGTATCGACCAAAAGCGTTTGAAGAATTTAAATGTGAAGCCATCAGGCCCCGGGGCTTTCTCGCTACCACAACTCCAAATAGCATTTTTAATCTCTTCACAAGAAAAAGTCTCCTCCAAAAATCCTCGGCTAGCATCAAAAATCATTTTGAATTTACTGCTGTGAAATTTTGGTCTATCTGCCCATCTTTCGCTGAATTTGTCAGCAAAAAATCGTACCGACTCTGCTTTCATGGCCACCGGATCACTCGCCCATTCACCATTAATTAGAATGCCATGTATGTGATTCCTCCTCGTTCGGTTGGATACATAGCCATGGAAAAAACGAGAATTTTCATCCCCGTCTATCGTCCATTTAATCCGAGCTTTTTGCTTCAAATCAATGATTGCAAGCCTTTCAAGCTCCTCTATTCTTCCTGAAATTCTGGTTCTTTCAACCAAATCGACATCATTAAAACAGCCACATTCAAGCCTTTTATCAATATCGGTACGGGCCTCCTTGAGTTTTATAAGTTCTGCCGATTCCTTAGAAAACTCCAAAGATCGCCATTCACGAATCGCCTTTTTGATTGCTTTCAACTTATTCAATAGCCTCGAGTCGGGGGGACCAAAACCGATGAATTCACGACAGGCCTTGCTAACCACTTCATCGAACCCTTGACTGGTCAGCCAGGAAGCCAGGAATTGAATAGCTTGAATGGAAGGGGACCAAAGTTTGCTCTGGATTGAGAAAGTAGAATGGGACAATGATCTGATTTATCTCTTGGTAGAGCCGTGACTGATACATGAGGGAACAACTTGGAGAACTCCGAACAAACAAGAAAACGATCTAGTTTGCTAAGTTTCGCTCCAGACTGTTGAAAATAAGTAAATCGAAAACCCCCCATTTTTGGTTTATGAAATCCCGCTAATTCGATGAAGTTGTTGAAATAATTAGCACTAGATTGACAAAACATGGAATTAATACGCTCCTCCTGTCTTCTCACCACATTAAAATCACCAAAGACAATCCAGCATGCTTAGCGAGAATTTTTGATGAGAAGCAACTCCTCCCATAAATTGCGCTTCTCAGAAGGGGATTGGGGTCCATAGACATTCACAAACGCCACCGGGCAGGAGTAGGATGAACAGATACCAATAACAATAAAAAAGGAACGAGATTTAATGACCTCAGAAGAAGTGAAGTAATTCCTGTCCCAAATAGATACCAGCCCACCTGATCTACTAGATGCATGTTTTGTTAGTGTTTGGTGCATATTGTTTGATGTTGGACCGAGAATATTGGAGTGTATCAGACGAATAAAAGCATATTCAGTTGGGTCGGGGTCTTAATGTCTTGTTAAAACAATGGCTCTCCCTTTCTATGAATTATGAATTATCAAGGTGTCAAACACGTCATCGAGTCATAGGGTCCATGCTAGTAGGCTAAAGACATGAAGTTGTTTAGACCAACATGGTGGATTGAGTGATGATGATATTGATTGACATACACTGCGGTCAAAAAAATAATTTTTAATTATTTTACCGGTTCTTCACCAAGTTCTTCACCAAATACTGAGGCGGCGGTTCATTTCTCCACTGTAGTGTGAGATGCAAATGATTTTTGAAGAACATGTATAACAATGAAATAAGAATAAAAGACTCCAAATCAAATCAATCCAAATCCCAGAGTTGTGTACGGATGTCTAAGGGGTGTTTGGATAAATAGTTTTTAGCTTATTAGCTTATTGCTTATTTGCTTATGCGGTGGAATAAGCACTTTTTTAAAATATGTTTGGATTAGCTTATTGTTGTGGGAATAAGAAATAAGCAATAAGCATTTTAAGTGTTAGGCAAACAAAACAGCGTATATGAGTAAAATGACCAATAAGCAATAAGCATTCCCCCTCTTGCTTATTAAAATCAACTTATTTGGCTTATTCCTACCGCAATAAGCTGATTTTTAAAGACACCTATCAAAACACTTAAATTTGCTTATTGCGATGGGATTAAGCAATAAGCAACCTGTTTTTTCCCTATCCAAACACCCCCTAATGTCACGAATATAAAATTCATGATCCAACTCCATTTCTAAGTACAAAAGACAATGAAAAAACTTTTTGGGACCAAATTTACAAAATTGAACTAAGGCACCAAATCTATAATTTACTCTTACTATTAAGAACATAATGGTAAATAAATTTTATAAACTTACCAGCATCACCTTCGATACGACATTGCAATACAAGCTGATACTCACAAATGTGGGCCTCATGTTTAGAGAAAAAGTAGGTAAGTGAAGAGAAAAGGCTTGTAGGTTGAAAAAAAAAACAAAAAAGAAGGATGCTTTGAAGTGACTAAAAACATTACCAGAAACCTTAAATGATAACCGGTGTTGCAAAAATCGGCATTGGCGGCCGATTAATCGCTTGACGGCCTTAAACCGATTACGATTATGGTTCTTGGCGAAAAATGGTCAAAATCGGTCAAAGTCGGGCTTGGCAGTTCTTGGCGGTCATAGGCGGGAATTTTAAAAAAAATTTAATTTTCAAATATTACACCAAAATTTTAAACTTTCAAATTTTTAAGCTTTCAAATTTTAAAATATTAAACTAAAATTTTCAAATTTTTAAATTTTTAAATTTTCAAATACTTAGCTTTTTAGGGAATATTAATTTTTTAAATAATTTTATTAATAATTAAGGGTCCCCGATTAATCATCTCCGATTAATCCCCACCTAGTCCGATTAATCGCTTATCGTCAGTCGACCGCCGAACGATTTTTACCAATTGAAAACTATGCTTCCCCAACAAATTTTTCTTCCGCCTGATCGAACTAATAATGCCCTGTGATAACAAACAGTTTAAAATAATTATTAAAAAAAAAAAGATTTTCAAGTTCCAGTTCCAGTTCCATCTGGTAATTCTTCCATATATAGAAACAGAATACAAAATCAATAAATACATTAAAGTAGAGGGAGGGTAAAAATGGAATAAAAAGATGCTTACGAAGCAGAACAACTTCTTCAGCATTGCGAGCTACATCTTCTATATTACTGAAAAGAGGTAAAAGAAAAGAACTATATAAACTGTCATGTGAGTGTAAAATATAAACCTTCCTCAACAACAAAGTCAAAACTCTCATTCCAAATTGGATTCAAATGATTGTCCTTAACAAGGTTTTTAGGCCCACTCATTACGGGCGGGCGGGTGTTTAAACAATATTTTTTTGTGATGTAGCATTTGGGGTTATGTTACATGCTTAAAAGCTAACATTGTAGGAAGTTTGATGTCAACCGAAAAAAAAGTATTACTTGTAAAAAATGCAAGTACATCGTTATTATTGTAAAAGAATATGTAGATACATTGCTATTACTATAAAAAATGTAATTACATTGCTATTACCTTACCAGGCTGTAAAAAAAATATACGTACATTGTTATTATTTGTAAAATGATATTGCCATCAAGCTAAATAAAAGTAAACAAATACCCAAAATGCCAAAAAAGAAATAAAATTAAACTTAGAGTTTATTAACTTGGATAACAACTTATCTAATTAAATGTTGTTGGCATTTTGGGTATTCAATCATAAAAGTAACCAGATACCCCAAATGCCATGAACATTAGAGTTGTATTAATTTAATTGTATACTAACTTACAATAATCATCCTATGCCAATGCCAATGACAATGGAAGATAATATGCATCGTCTTTCTTGTAGTCTTCCCTTAACTGTATAACCTGGAACACCATACTAAAATATAAAATCCAACATATTTTTTTTCAGCTTATCAGCAATCTAGAAGATACAGAGTCTTACATTTAGACTATAAGAAACAAATATGTTCAAACATTAATTAGATCGTCTTGATAAGTACCTTGAAGCTAGTGTTTCCAATCTTATCATCCAGATTAGTGAACCTAGCCACTGTACCGAAGATATCAAAACCAAAAAGGCATATGAAACGAAAATTATAAACAAAAAAAGAATCCAAAAGGAATCACAATGAAAATCATCAAAACCCGAAGTTCTTATGTCTCACCATATATCTATTTTGAAATTTTCTTCAGTTTAACTTCCATTCTCCAATTTATTTGCCCTTATATATGAAATATGAACAAAAAACTCAAAATTAGTCAACAAACCATCAAATAGAGGCGATGAAGTTCAAAAAACCTAAGAAATATACACACCCAAAAAATAGGTAAGCTTGAAAAGTAAACAGCGAGAACATCAAAAAAAATTGTTACCTCTTAGGAAAGCTTTCAGAGAAAACAACGACCAAAATAAACGGAACAAACCCTTGGCTTCCAAAAAATCAGTAGCAAGTCCAATCGAAAATACATTTTCCTGATTTTTTTCATCTTTATCCAGATCCGAATATGTTTTTTAAAACTCGGGAGATAAAGATAAATGATGAATTGTCGAAGAAGAACCAACAGCGTTTGGTGGATTCGATCTCCAGAGTAGGTGGCTGATCGAGGAGATGCTGACGATGACAGTAGAAGGTGGAGATGGTTGTGGATAAGGTTTGAAGAGGAGGGAAAGGAAGAAAGTAGAGGTGTGATGTTTGGCAAAAGTAAGAAGCAAAACCTTCTCAATCCAACACCACCAACACTATTGTTTGAAGTGATCTTAAGCACAGCACATTGACATTTTATCAAATGTTAAGTTTATAACAGACAAAATTGCAAAAATGGTCATGTGATAGGTATTTTTTTGGGTTTTAGTTCAAACTATGATTTTTTTAGATTTGTGGTTCTTTTGAGCTAGTTTCGTTGCGTTTTTTGTCCCTCGAAAAACTAAAAAGACTAAAATGCCCTTCTGATATATTTTTTATGATTTTTGCTATTTAATTTAAAGTTTTGTTAAAAATTATGGGGCCCACATTCTCTCTCTCTCTCTCTCTCTCTCTCTCTCTCTCTCTCTCTCTCTCTCTCTCTCTCTCATTTCCGACACCCAACACCTTGCATTCAATAAATTCATAGATTCCATTCACTTGAAGTCTTGGATATGAGCTCAAATTTTATGTTTGGTTCTGTCCCAAATGACATTTCAAGATTACAAAAGCTTCAAACTTTAACATTAGATGGAAACTTCTTCAATGAATCCATCCCTGATTGGTTCGATTCCTTATCACATCTTACCATTTTGAGCTTAAAGAATAACAAATTAACGGGTCATTTTCCTTCGTCAATTACCAAGATCACAACAATTCTGAACTTCCATTGTTTCCTAAAGGAGTGATTACAGTTCTTTTAAGCAATAACTCGTTTTCGGGTAACATTCCTGAACAATTTGGAAAACTTAACCAGCTTCATCATCTCGACCTGTCATCCAACTCACTGAAAAGGTGAGTGACATTCCAGATTTGTAAAAAAGGGGTGGTGAGGAGCTGATGGTGAGCTTTTGATATATATATATATATATATATATATATATATATATATATATATATATGATTTGAGCATGAGTAAGGATGATTGCACAAACCTTTATTTATGATCGTGGTGTTGGTGGTTGATTTGTGGTGGCTGGAAGGATAGATGGTAGTGAGGAGTTGGGTTTTATGAAGAAGACGAAGGTATTGAAGAAGATGATGGTGGATTGTATCTTTGGGTATTGAAACGAGAGATGGAGATAGAGGGGGTGGGCCCCTTCTTATTTTTTTAATTATTAAAATAAATAAAATAGTACTATTAGATTTAAAAAGAAAGAAAGAAAAATGGAAAATAAATACCCCAAGGGTATCATAGTCATTTCACTATTCGGAGGGACAAAAAACGCAACGAAACTAGGTCAAAAGGACTACGAATCCAAAAAATTCATGGTTTGAACTAAAACCCCAAAAAATGCATATCATATGGACAATTTTTGCAATTTTGTCTTTATAATAACACAACTTTGTTCTTTTCTTTGCAAACATAGTGATACAAGGAAAAAAGAAGATAACTTACAATAACTTTGCTGATTTGCATCATAATATGCAAATTGCATGTATACAACTTGGCAAATGGATCAGTGAAATTATTATTGTCCAAGTTATGTTGTGACTGCAACTCCTTTACTTTGTGATGGATCTAGAATAAAGTCAATGTTAGTGACATAAGTGATTACAAAAAGAAATTTCTGTCACACCCCCAAACCGGAACGGCGGAATCGTTCGGGGGCGGAGGACGTCATGCTTAGTATCACAACACATGCATCATAGTAATCAAAGTAACAAACAACCATTGCATTAATAATAAAGTGTTTACAAAGTATGTGATTCACAAAAGATTGACTCCAAAAGTAAATAACAAAACAAGACATGAAGCTACTATAATCCATCTTCTGAGTCCCAGTGCGCGTACCTGTCAACTAGTTTCCTGAGAATACAAGTTATTTTGAAAGAGTAGATCAGCATTTAAGCTGGTGAGTTCATAAGCATTTTTATTTCAAAAAGTTATACTCTAAGTTCTTTAGAAAAGTTCGTCTGTTCCTCCAGAAATGTGACATCCCCAATTTCACGGCCAGAAAAGACCGATTTGTTTATGCTTTGTTTTATAAATCAGAGTAATCGTTTAAAGAAAACGGTTGCGGAATTTGTTCCCAAAACAAGATATGATAATAACTTATCAAAACATTTTTCAAAGAGAATGTATTTTTATTTAATAATAAAACCTCGGGATGTCATGTTCCGATACAGACACATAAGCATAAACATATCATACATTCATTTACACTAGTGATTTACATCTCTTATAATCTCTCAGTGAAATGGGTATTCGCATCGATACCTGTGATACAGAGAAAACTGAGTGGGTCAGGCTTGGGAGCCTGGTGAGCATATAGGGTTTTCAACCCACAATAATATATTTATTATATTTAATCATCAAACAATCAACCCAATTACCCATCCTCATTGTCTCCATTTATCTTAAGGATCTACCCTAAGAATCATCTATCCTTCATTCTTAAGGATTGACCTAAGGTATAGGCACGAAGTCACATCGTCGCCAGGGTTTATTCAATAGGCACTAACTCCATAGTCACAAAGGTTTATACAATAGGCGCTAACTCCATAGTCACCAAGGCTTATACAATAGGCACTAACTCCATAGTCACCAAGGCTTATACAATAGGCGCTAACTCCATAGTCACCAAGGCTTATACAATAGGCGCTAACTCCATAGTCACCAAGGTTTATACAATAGGCGCTAACTCCATAGTCACCAACTATCCCATCTACCCATGTTCTACCCAACATTTTTGTAGATATAAATACTTACACAGTTTAAATCATTTAACACCTATATAAAACATCAATTCCACGCCCATCTCAAATAGACAAACAATATATAACACATAGCACGTATTTCATGGCAAACACTTCATATATATGTGTTAAAAGAAAGTAACTACACACTCACACAAAACATATACTTAATACATTCAAACAATACTTGTATTAAAATCGTGTTTGTGAAAGGGACTATACACTCACTTGATCAGAAGATGATCGGACAGCACTACGGCTCTAAGAGTAGTACTTCTTCGGTGAAACTGGAAGATCTTCACACACCGGGCTTCTCGCAGGCAGAGCTTCGGCTCGGAAACTCTTTTCTTCTCGGGATCTTCGGGCTTCGGGACTTGCTTCGTGTCTCGGGATGATACCGGGGCTTCAGGGGGTTAAAAGAGGGCTTAGATAGAGTATCGGGAGTGAGAGAGAAGAGATAGAGCAACCAAAATCGGCTGACCCTCGATTTCTATTTATAGGGTCATTTTTCAGCTCTCACGTCGTGAATTTTAAGTTTTCACGTCGTGAACTTAGTTGTCACTGCATGCGTCATCACAGGTTGCGTCTGTCAGGCTCCAGAAGTCATAAATATTGAGTTCACGACGTAAACACTGTATTCACGTCGTGAACTCTGACAGTTTTGGGGTTTCGCCCCCCGAAACTTCAGAAATTCATAACTTTTGCATACGAACTCCGTTTTCGACGTTCTTTATATCCACGCGTAGGTGAGATTATGCTCTACAACTCTCGTTTAGACTTTGTCGGCTAATTTTGACTTTATTTTTATTATATTTTTTATTATATTTTTATTATATTATTTTTAGTAGGCCGGGACAGGAAAACTCCGTTAGAAATCCATAACTTCTTCGTCTGACGTCCGTTTTCGTCTGTCTTTTTACCGTTGGACTACTATCGATGAGATCTTTGATTTTTCATTTAGAAAGTTTTGGCTAAATATCACTCGATCTCTATTTCGAGTATTCGGGTTGCATACTGCTAAGTCGAAACTTCGAAAAATCATAACTTCCTCATACGAAGTCAGATTTAGACGTTCTTTTTATGCACGCTCTCGGTTTAACGTATTCTACGACTCTCGTTTAGATCGCTAAATCCAAATATCGCTCTATCGTAAATTCACTATTTACGTCGCGTTGTGTCGTGTCGGTTCTGTCGCGAAACTTCGACAGGTCATAACTTCTTCGTTATAACTCGGATTTCGGCGTTCTTTACATTTTTGGAAACCTTGAGACATATACTACAACTTGGTTAAGATTAATCCTTCTAAATAATCTTCCATCAAAAAGTCATTTTTGATGCTTATCGTCTCTAAATTGACTAGCCCGGATCTACGGACGTTACAATTATCTCCCCTTTAGGATGATTGCGTCCCGGAATCATCAACGAAAATAGGACTTGTATAATGATTCCATACGTTATCTTTCCATCCTAAGTAATAACCATGATGCTAGATCTGGCACCTGCTCTTCGTACTAGGTTGGACTTTCAATCGTAACCTACAAGTTACAAAATAAATCCTTATTGAGGACTCCTTCTTCTTCTTAGGATAAGTACTTCCCCTTATCTATTGTAACAGATCAACGGGTCATGTTCTAATGACCTTTCATCGGATGATGCAACGCCTAGACTCAAGTCTCTTTGAGTCAAATCCCAGAATGGAATATACATTCCTTCATATTCTAATGTGATATAATCACATTTTATCATATAACATTTCTGGCTACAAGCTTCATTAACAACGAGCGCGATGCTATTGATCGCATTGATTTCAATCTTCTGACTTAAGTCAGATGTTACATCGAACTTGGTTCTCTGCACCACGTAACAAACTCATCGTAGTCTCACTCAATTTGATATGACCACTAGGGTCAGAATATCAATCATATTTTTAGTTATTACCGAAACAATGGTAACGAGATATATGAATAAAAAAGCGAACTCAATTACAAGCTTCTTGGTAACCTTGTGACCTTCCCTGATCCAAGCGTGAGTCATGTGCTTCCAGTAGTATAGATCTCTACTACTATTCACACCTACTCATACTCGCCCCAAGTATTGTCTCGCAGTCCCCAAGCTCTAAAATCACAAAACAATTTAACACATACGAATGTGTCCAAATAATCATAGAAATTTTCCTAGACTCTACTAGGACTTATTCCATGCGTATCCTCAATCATCAATTCTACTTCGAATCGGTTGGTGATGGAAATTCCAGACGATGAGACAACTTCAGGAATTACACCAATCGTTCCATCATCCTGCCAATCGAAGGTGTACTTCAGACGTACCATACTCCTCTAAACGTTCCACTATTTTATCAGACATATTCTAAAGGCAAGATACCACTCTTACGATATCTTCTGATAGGTGTCATTCACTATCATAAGCCTTTCATTTCCTCCATTTACTCAATTCTCTACGAGTCTCCACCATAACGTTTTGTACACCCAAGCAAACGTTCGGTGTACCGGGCGAGAATTTAAGATAAGAAAGCTTTATTTACGATAGACGTATACATCTCCTTATCACTCCGAAACATTTACATGCTAGTTCTAATACCGTAGTCATACGCTTAGAATCCTAAACACATAAGGTTTCCAGTTCCGGTTGGCAACAAACCATAGATCCGAACAAATAATATCATATATGGAAAACATATAACATTTAGCACATAAAAGCATTTTAGGCAACTTTCCTAAAATAAACTAGTGCTCGTGTCAATTTAGGTGTACTACCTAAAATATAAAAGACACACTCAACTCACAATCATCGCTTAGCATCCTAAGTTTAAGTCTAGAAATCCTACAAATTCCTAGTTCGCTTAAACTAATGCACTGATACCAACTGTGACAT